GGGGGTGCTCCTTCTTGGGGGGCGAGGCGGCGCTGCTGCTGCGCCCCTTGGGGCTGCTCTCCTTGCTCTTGCGCCCGGGGCTTTTGCAGGTCTTCAGTCCCTTCCCGCTCTTCTCGCCGAGGGTGGACACCAGCAGGGGCTTCACCACCTCCTTCACCTCGATGCTGACAGTCTCCCGGGTCTTGCGCTTCTTGATGGGAAGCACGGTCTCCTGCACAGACCGGACGGAAGGCTCCTTCACGGCTTTTTTCTTGGCCTCGGCGGCAGCCGCCGCAACCACACTGCCCGGCTTGCGGCCTCGCTTCTTGGGAATGGCCTGGGGGTCGGCCTCGGCTTTTCTCTTTCTGCCGGGCCGTTTGATCACCATGACCTGGGTGGACGTGGTGGCCCCGCCCCCCTCGGCCTTGCTCCCGGGTGAAGCTTGAAAAGGCATCTTGACCAGCAGCTTCCCGGGACTCTTCTCCAGGACCCTCTTCACCTGCACACCCTCTGATGCTGCTGCCTTGGGTCTCGTGGTGCCGCTCCCTTTGGGGCGTCCCCGGCCTCTGCCAGTTCCTGGAGCTTTGGGAGATTTGGGCTTCTTAGGTGGTTTCTGCTCTCGCCGCGAGGGGCTCCCTCTCCCAGTTACCGTGAAGTCAAAATCATTAGGGTCCAGGGAGGTGTCGCCTACCTTTTCGAAGTACGCAATCAACTCCACTTTAGAGCGAAAGGCTTTTCCCTGCGGACTGTGGGAACAAATGCAGACACAAAGAATGATCAGAAGCTTCCACAGTCATGATGGAAAGGGAGCAGAATGGAGGTGGCGAAGAACTCTGTCACAGAAGACGCTGTGCAACTGCCAGGCCTGTCGTCGCTCAAGAGCCAGAGTCACATTTAAGAAAAGCCACAGCGAGCTAAACCTGGGGGACACGGCCTGGCCACACACGGCCTGCACCTGCACCAGGACAGCCAGCAGCTGCCACCTGGATGCCCCCAAGGGGTTGGGCCTGGCCGGGCCTGGGGGCCCACGCTGAACTCGGCACACTGCAGGGCCGCCCTGGGACAGGGTTTCTCATCGGTCGGGAGGTAATGGTCAGCATGCCCTTCTCAGAGATACTGCAATCAAACGAGGCCTCTGCAAATGTCCTTTGCAAACCGATCATCTTTTGGGGATCGTTCAAGGGACAGAACTGAAAGTTACTTATTCACGCCTCTCAACCTCTGGCTCTGGAAGTTACTGGGTTTCAAAAGGAGATGCCCAGCCATCAGCCCAAAACTGGACAAATGCAAGATGGACAGGTTGGAAATGCACATGGAGCCAGTTTGTGGGTACCTCTCCCCAGGGGGCCCACCTTTCCCAGCATGATCCCCAGTAGACTGAGCCCCGTGAAGCCCTGTCTCTTTGGGCTCAGGAAGCAGTATCACAGAACGACTCTCCCAGGACGAGGCGGCTGATGGGTTCCCAGAAGAACCCCTGACATTCTCCAGCTGGGAGATGGCAGGAACCCCAGGAGTTCCACGTGCACCCCCGACTGCAGTCCTCGGTCTTCCCAGGTGGACTTTCCTGGGGTCCTCGCTGTGGCCCCGGGTAGGTCCTACTGCTGGCCCGCCTCCAGGTGAGCAGGGCAGGGCAAAGGCCCAGCCAGGGCACACCTGCTGGTCCGCAGTACTCACTCACCCCGCGCCCGGCAGCGAGGCACATGTTGGCAGGAGCCCCAGCAGTTCCTGGAGCCTGTCCCTTGCTGCCCCCGCCCCGGCCCCGCCCGCCCTGCAGAGCGGTGCTGCCCTTACTTACTTGATCAGATACACATCATACTTCCCAGCGGAGCGGCCCGATTTCCTTTGCTTTAGCTTTCGGGTCCAGCCTTCTGGGAGGGTAGGGTCGTCATACATAGGCCCACGGTCGCGAATGATGGAGCGCCGCTGTTTAGGAGAGGCAGAAGCTTCTGGGACGGCGGGGGCCGAGCCAGACCCTTCCGCGCGCTCAGCAGAGTGGTGGGCTGGCGGCTGCGGGGGTTCATGTTTGCCTTCCTTGTCTTCTTTCTTATCCTTCTTCACCTTTTTAAACTTGAGCGGTTTGTCCTTGAGGCCCTGGAGATCCTGGTCTTCTGCCTTTTCTTCCCTGAAGTGTTAAACGAGTACGTGAGTACCACAGAGAGCCACAGCAGCTGGCAGAAAAAGTGAGCGCAGACCAGGCCCGGGGGACAGGGCTGCACCTGCCTGAAGCGGGGCCCCTTTACCCCCCAATTTCTTCAAGTCGTGGGCAGCGGGGTGATGTCAGTGGCACCCTACCTGACTGCAACCGCCCACCAGAGTGCCCAGGCCTCCCAGCAGGTGGGGGACAGCTGCAAGGGTGGCAACTTTCCAAGAAGAACCACCACATGGCTTCTCCATAGGCTGCCCCAGCCTTTCTCCTGCAGAGTGTCCTGGGACTGAGCAGGTCACTGGTCCCAGGGTCACCCCTTTGAGTGCCTGTTGAATCACTGTGGCCCAAGTACCCCGTCTGAGAGGCGCAGACTCCACGTGATAGGGCTGAGAGTATGAAGGAAGGTGTCGAGACATCTGCTATCTTTGCAAACATCAGCCTATGGCCCAACCTGAGGTGGTGGGACTTCCAGCCCCACGGCAGGTGGGGGCAGCCACAAAGAAGGGCAGGCTGACCGAGATGTGCGGGAAAGGCCAGCAGACTCTGGGGCGCCTTGGCTGTGTTCTTCACAACGCATCAGTGCGGGCTTTGCTAGTGTGCCCTGGTCCGCCCCACCCGAGGCTGTCCTGTCAGAACCCGAATTTTTATTGCGTGAGTTACAGAATGATTCCTTTTCAGAAACACGGGATCACGCTGAAGCAGAAAAGCCTTCCTGAACCTAAATGCCAAAGAAGCCCCAGGGAGGGTTCCTGAGCCATCAGCCTCTCCCAGTGATTCTGCTGCTAAATGAGAACATCGATCAAGCCCTCCTCTGAGCTAGTGAAGGATCACTTTATAAGCGTGAAAGCCGATGGCAGCAATCCACAGAGGACGGCCCGGGAGCCCTCGGTGCCTGTGTGTTCCCAGGCTGCAAGCGCCCCACCAGCCAAGGAGGGCCTAGTCCACCCCAAGGCTTTCAGACTAGAGAAGAAAGGGCCCTCCCTGGCGGCCAGCGGGTTAGGGCGCAGCACTGCAAGCTGCTGCGGCCACTTTGGTAGGAGTCCAATCCCGGCCAGGGAGCTGACCCCCAGGGTGCAGCAGACCTCTCCTGTCGCCCCACTGCTCCCCTCAACAGAGGATTTCAGCCCATCCGCCTGTTCTGCTCCCCACTCTGTCTCTGCGGAATCCTCTCATCCCCTCAGTGGTGCCGGCCACCTCTGTACGCACAAATAATCTTTAAAAAAAGAAGAAGAAGAAGAAAGGCTGCCGAGCCAGGTGAGAGGTGGTTTTCCGCGCACTTGGAATCCAACCTCCTCCAGAATGAGCTCCAAGGAAACATCTAGAGCCCTAGCAATGTCTGATCTTCCACGACTTGACTCATGTCTGCATAGGTCCAACGGCGGGTGCAGGCCCTCTCAGCACCCTTTATCTGTAGCCACCCACCCCACTGGGCGCAGGAGAAGCATGAATGGCGCAGACAGGCCAGCAACTGTGAGGCAGGTCACAGCTGCATCCCTCAGTTCCAGAAGCCAACAGGGTGGCCAGTGATGGGCTGCCGCGTGGGTACAACAGGGACAGACATGTGGGGACAGGGACCCACTTGTCCCAGCAGCCTCCCTGTAGCACCCCACCCCCCCAATCTTACAATAGGGGTCAAAAGCCACCAAAGGCAGAGGCCAAGTCTCTACCCCAGCCACAACTGGGACCAAAAACAGCAATGGAGACGTCACGTCCCCCCGCGGGTGGCCGGAATGGTGGCCCTACACCTCAGGGGAGGGCCTGTCTAAAGCATCGCATAAGCCACCAAACAGACAGGGTCCCAGGCTACAGCCCCCGGCCATGCCCCTGCCCACAAGGAGCAAGGGTGTTCACCAGACGGGAGAGCAGGGCAGCGCGCCCAGGACACGCAACCCTGCTGGTGACAAGGACCAGACCACACTGCCAGTGCACCATGGCCAGCCTCCCCACTGGGGGCGCAGGTGGGTGAGCGGTGGCAGTGCCCGCCAGCTTTCACAAAATGCTGTCAGCCTGAGTTCCAACATGCCACACTGGAGCCCCTTGGAGCAGAGGGAAACCCTGCTGGGGAAGCCGCCTCAGGACGGCCAGAGACAGAGCAGCGACAGCGGGAATCAAGCACGCAGAATGCAGGGCAGTGACAAGCGACAGCAACTGGAGGAAGCCAACAGCCCCAGGAGAGATGTGCTACATGAGTATGACACTCGTCCCCGTGGTAGGGAACCCCCAAAATGGAATGGAAGTGGCCATCAAGGCCAGAAGTGGCCCAGATCAAAGATGAGTTGCATGTGGGTCTCAAAAAGGAATGCTGAGTACGAACGGCCAGCAGCAAGACAGGCTGGGCGGCCACCTTGGCCCCCCGCAGGGGTAGCAGCCTAAAGGAAAGAGCAGCGAGGCACCAGGGTGCAGAGGGCAGAAGGCCCTGTGCAGGGGTGGACACTGACAGGGGGCAGAGAGATCAAAGAAGGAGAGGCCGTCTGTGTGAGGCAAGTCTGGGCATGTGAAGGAGGTGAGAAGAGGGCGCACAGGCCCCAGACATGCAAGAATGAGGACCAGGAAGAGTGAAGGCCAAACACCAGGAACAATCTGCTGTGTTCCAGGGAAGAGAGCGCAATGGGCTGCAGCCAAGTGGGCAAAGAAAAGAAAAAGGGGGTGGGTCCAGGGCAAAGCAAATGTGCAGGGCGTCCGCCTCCACTCGGGGCACTCGGGGCACCTGCAGACAGCACGGCAGCGCCGGGCTGAGCACGCGCACCTGCAGAGCTGGCCCTGCTCCCAGCAACGGGCTTGGCGCTTTGTTCCCAGAGGAGGAGAAGGCCCTGGAGAGGGTGCTTCACAGGGGACTGACGTGCTCAGGTGAAGTTTCAAAAAAGCCTTTCACCACAAGGAAGATGTCAGGGCAAGGGTGAGGAGGCAGGGTGCTGCAGGGTGGTCTCGCAGCTTAGGGTGCCTGACACTGTGAAAGGCAGGGTAATGAAGGGCATCAGGGCAGAAGAATCAAGAGCGTGAAAGAAGCCCACTGAAGCCTGGATGGGCCCACCGTGGGCAGAGACGGCAGGCAGGGCTTACCGCCCCAGCCTCCCTCAGCCACCTGGACGCTGCTGTGGAAACAGGCTGGCCTCAGTGCCCTGTCTTTCCAGGGTGAGGCCCAGCCTGAACCCCAAGGGGCCTGCAGCTGGAGCTGTCTGCAAACTGCACATCGGCGGAGAGGCAAGTGGTTAGCACAGTGGTGATTCAAGGTGGGCACCACAATGGCCCACCTTGGCGCCCATGCGCCAAGAGCAGGTGGCACCCAGGAGATCAGGGGCTCTGAGGCCCACGGCTGATGTCTTCATGCTGAGCAGCTTTGCCCAGAGTGCTATACAGCCTGGGGTAGAAGTTGGGCTGGAGGTGCTGAGTCCTCTTAGCACAGGGCACGAGTGACATGACTCACCAGGCCTGAGTACAGACTAGCCACCCCCCACCCCCCCGCCCACACTGTGATGAGGATAGTGAACCCAGGAGCCATGGGGAGAGCAGGTGGCTCTGTGCCGGTCCCCAGCGGCAGGCAGCATGGACGGCTCCAGGGGGCTCGGAAAGCAACGCGATATGGAGGCAGCGGCGTCTGTACACTGTGAGCATACGTGATACCACGCAGCGGCGTGCTTCAAAGCGGTCCAGATGGCACACTGTACAGCAGGGGCGTTTTACCACAATAAAAAACATTGGCCTAGAAAACAAGGCGCTCAGGCGGCCCAAGAATCCCTCCGGGTCAGGTGAGCAGGCTTCCAGTGGAACTGGCCAGGAGGAGCGCCCAGCGCAGGCAGCCTGCCTCTGCCACCTGCAAGGAGGCGTCGCTGCCACCCAGGAGCTAGTCTGCCCCACAGCCACGAGGCTCAGCCAGGGCTCTTCCTGCCCACTGCCACCGTGCATGCCCGTGCCTCCAAGAGGGCTTCTGGTCAGCTTTCCTGGCCCCAGAGCTTCTGTCAAAACACTCAACCTGCCAGGGCAGTGGGGAGTAGCCCCGGACACAGCCTAACGGAAGGGCCACGGCTGGTCTGCAGGACAACTTCCATTACAGAAGCAGGCCCTGTAGCAGAGGCCAGAGCTGGCCTTGGAATGTAGTCTGAAAAGGCGGCTAGGCAAAGACGCACTGGCATTCGGAGCAACGACAGTCAGGTCACTTGGCCTCCCATCAAAGACCCAAGCAGGCGAAAGTTGCCCCAAACCGAAGGGACTCAGACGCGAGGCAAGGTGGCGAGGAAGGTAAAGGTGACTAGACTGGCCAGGCGGGAGCAGCACAGGGTGGGGTGCAAGGAGGTGCGAGGAAGGGGCTTCCTGGAGGAACGACCGTGTCGAGAGGAGGGCCCAGGGCTGTGTCATGGGCTGTGGGAGCAAAGCCGCCGTGGGTGAACTGGGCAGAGTGGGGGGCATGAGCGGGCGCAGCCGAAGGGAGCGCTCAGGGAGACAGCAGTGCAACATGCGGGAGTCACGAGTAGTGGGAGGTCGACAGCTGGGACGTGTGCAGCCAGCAAGTGAGGAGTGGGGGTCCTGGTCACCTCGGCGTGGTCTGTGAGAGCTGTGTGGGTGGAGCAGTTTCCAGCGATGACTGTGGCGGCAGGTGGCTGAGGTCAAGAAGACGGGAGCCTGGGCTAGGCGGGCTGTTGACACCCACTCTAGAGTCACTTGTGGGAGGAGAGGCACTGGGGCCCAGACAGACCACAGACCTGGCATCGGATCCTCAGCCGGGAACTGGGTGGGGGCCTGAGGAGCGGAGCGGCCCAAGTGTCACCAGGGGCTGGTGGTGAGGACGTGTGGTAAAAGCAGGGGACACGGGTCTTCCTCCTGCCTGGAACTCGGGCTGTGACAGTCACCAGGGTGGTGTGGACATAGGAAGGTGGAGAAATCTCACCCAGCCAGAGCCTGGCACGCCTAGGAAGGGCTCTGTACCAGAAGACAGACCTGTGCCAAGTCTTCCAGAGTTAAGTGGGAAGAGGAACTTCGGG